CACATCTATGAACACCTGTGCCTGCTCCTGCAGTCTCCTGCTCCCTGACATTCCCCAAGCAGCTGCTTTTACAGGGAGTGACCACTGGGTACAAAGAAGCAACAGAACTCTCTACAGAGAGCAAAGGAGGGAGGCAGCAGAGGCCATACCTTCCTAACAACACAATTCTCAAATCACCATTTTACAGCAAAATGAGTTATGCCTGACTGCATACAGTTTGCTTTATCAGTGAACAGTTGTTCACTGCTTGCTGTAAGTAGTGCTCCTTTAAATAAGAGACAGATCTCTTGAGCCCAGCACGCAAAAAGAAGGGCCAAGATCACTCAGATTTGTTCCCATGGGTGTCGTCTCACTCATCCCTTCCTGTTCCTGATGCAGCTCCACCCAAGCACCACTCCCACATCTGCAAAAAGCCAGATCGTCCTCATAGTTAGTTGCTGGAATGAGGGCTTAGTTAACACGGCCAAGTACTTAAACACAGCAAGCTCTTAACGTGACAGAAAATAGAACAGCATTAAGTGTGTATTTATAAAGCCAAAAAAGTGAAAAAAAACTTCAGCATTAATATTCTTTGCTATATATGTAAATTTGAGGATATATATAGTGTACTATCTCCACTCAACAATGTCAGGTGAATGAACAGGAAATGAAACTGGTACTGATTTCAGTGGAAATTGACAGAAGAGCTAAATATCGACCAAAGCTAAATTGGGTTCAATACTTATTTTATGGAACAATAAATCACAAAAAAACCCCAATCCAAAGCAATATAGGTACTGTAGGTATCTTTCTCATGACATGGCTAAAATTTCATTTTCAATGGATGTCACTCAAACTGCAAACAGAAGCCATAGTTAAGTTTAAATACTTAACTTGGTATTCTAAAAATAAGAAATTATCGTGTAAAATCAATACTATGAAAATGGTTTATGATTCCCTTTTTAAAAGTCCCTCAATACGATTGCAAAAACTTCCATCAAATTACTAACATTCTAAGGCAGCAGGGAGCATATAATGTTACATTGCACTCAGTTTGCCAGTAGCTCGAATACATGTGTTTTATTCCATGGCCAAACTAACTGGCTATCATTTGAGGTTATGCAGAATCTTCTCCGTTCCAAGATGCACCACTAATAACAGAACTTTGCATGCTATTGCTGCATGAACTAAAACTGGCTGGTTGGATTTGTAACATACAACTGCACATGTTTTTTGGAGTCTGCAGTGTGCTGAGATTTGCTTAACTGTTAGGAAAGGTGAAGAATTGAGAAATGAAGGAAATGCCTCTTAAAGGAGGGTTACCAATGACTAATGAGGCAGGGACATTGAGCAAAGGACAGAAAAACTGATGGCTCCAGAATGAAAGATATAAGGAGTTTATTTCTCTTTGAAGACATCTTCTGGGCAAAGTATGGAATTCATAAAAGGTTCAGGCAGCAGACAGTAACTAGGGAACATTATTTTTGGAGGGCAGAAATGCATGTTAGTGAAAAAAAATTCTCAGATAAAACCTTCCTTTTAAAAAATGTTTGTTGTGAAAATGTTGTCAGGGCATCACAGAGCCGAAGGGACCCACAGATCTTGTTAATCTTTACTGTGGTATCAGAGATGAGAGCTTCTCTGACTGGAAGAACAAAGAAGGCAGAAGACATTGGAAAATATTTGGCAAGTTCTTCTCCAGTATTTGCCTCTCTGGGAGAATCTAAGAGTGCTCTGAAGATGGCTAATCCCACTCTTCTCTGATAGAGCAGCACAGCTCTGTCCCAGGCTGAGGGAAGGAAACCCTGTAGTTTGTACAGCTCAGCATGGCAAACCTCCCAGGAGAAAGCCTGGAGGTGTGGGGCTTTCTCACTCCTTCTGATCCTTTTATTATTTTCCATGAGATTGTGACACTGGTTTCAACACCCTCCAAGGCTGCGGCAAAGGCAGAATGTGTCCCAGAGGCCACGCCTCTATGAGCAGAGGTTCACATTTTAAAAAAGGACACAGAAGGAAGGAAGGAGCCACACACCAATGACACCTTCTTCTGCCTACCTGGCAAACAAAACAACTGTACCATTTGTAGATGTGCTGGCCAATACAACCTGATATCTTTCTCATCTGCTGTTATGCAACTTCTATTGAACTGCTTGCTTCAAAACAGACTTACCACAGATACTTACTGGAGGTACTGACCATGCTAAAATGGATTGCCCAAGGTGGCAATCCCAGTTCTCTGCATAATCTGACTATCCCATCATCTGCTACTAATACAGTACCACCTCTCTATCTCCATTCCAGCAGCAGACTAAGAGACATGTTAAACTTATAGCAAAACTGGCTCATTTAGGGCTGCTGAGAAAGTAAGTCTCAAAAAGCTCAGAACAGGGACAGATACCATCAGTCCATGGACTTTTCTCTCCATGTGGATTTGATTGCTAGGGAATGGTGAAAGCACAAATACTTTTTGTTCAGGCAAAGCTGCTTGAGAATTTACTGACAAAGCTATTTTTCAGTGAAAAATTAGGGGATTGAATAATTTATGTTTTACTGCAGAACACATCTGTATGGATTTTTCATAGTAATCCCATAACCCACAGACTCTGCCATGACTAAAAAAAAAGTATACTTTTCCTTTCTGGCCAACTGTTTTCCGGTTACCAAAACTCAAAACGTTTTGGCTGGTCTGTAAGAAGTGAAAAATTTCCACTGAAGAAAACCATTCCTCCATTTCTCTCTGGCAGCAATGAACTCAACACAGTACTTCAGCCCAGGTGTGGAGGATCTTTCTGGAAGATCAGTGTGCAGAGCTGTCACATTTGGGTTTCAAACAGGAGCAGAACTGGTCCCAAAATTCTTAGCAGGCCAGCACAAAAAAAGTTAGGAATGTTTTGTGGTGAATTTTTTTCCATATATGACTTCAGCTAGAGTCTTGGCCCTCAGCCATTCAAAACAAAAAATCCTTTCAAATTTAAGTGTACTTTGAAAGATACACGAGTAAGACAGACTGAACAAAAATAAAGCACCAGATAGAGCTGCTAAATAATACCAAGTAAGAAGGAATGATTCTTTTTACAGATTTTTCACAACATTCAGAATCTATGTTTCTCAGTTCGTTACCTATATATTTTTAACTGAGGCTTCAAGGAGTATATTTTTAATAACTTATTACACTCCTATTAGGAAAATATGCCAAAGCATAGGCCAAAATACCCTTCTCCAAAATAAGAAGTACTATCCCATCCAGAACAGTAAACCCCATCATCTATTGGCAAAAAAAATTAACTTTGAACGCAGTTTACTTAGCTGAAAGAAAAGATCATTGGTTTGGTATGCAGACATGCTCTTTTACTTACTTCTTGTTTTTAAAACGTAACTTTAAAGCTAGGCACTTACATAACAGGGAACAGTTAAAGGCAGAGTTATGTCGCCATGAAATGGAATTAATAGTCTTACTCTTTGCCTTAAATTGGCAAGCATTTGACTTTTTTATGTAATCCAGCATCTGCTGAAAGCTGTAGGATGTTCCTGGAAAATACCTAAAATCTTTTCAGTTTTTAATTTTTTTTTATTACTGGAAAAATACTACAGGAAATACTGGTTCTAGCCTGTAAAATACAAATACCAACAGTTAAGCTGATTTCTGCAGGGGAAATGTTTGCAGTGCAAAAACCTGTATTGGAGAACTTCAATCTGAACTCATCATTGTAAGAAAATCTAGTACAGTCTTTTTTTTTTATGGTTCACAACTGAATTTGGCATACCCACTTCCTTAGCCATTTGAAACAAAAGTGTTTCACAGAGGTGGTGCACATGATCCCCAGAGATGCCATCTTTTCTCTGCAGCCCATCTGACATTAGCAAAACCTGCAGACATGCTGTGTCTTGTCACTGCAATGGAAACTACTCAAGGCAAGGCGTGGCTAAAATGTGCCTATGTTACCAGACTCAAATAAGAATGAGGTGAAGACCATTCACTATTTCTTGGTACAGCCTGCCAAAGAAAACTGAATGAACCTCATTTTCAAGAAAGTTTCTTAAAGAAACTTGAAATTAGTGATGGAATTTTGGGCAGCCTTGAGCATGCTAAGTAATTATAGTTTTCATCTATGAAACTACTCGGTTTGGTTAAACTCAAAGCAAAACTGAGCTCTCTGGCAACCCCAGAAATGTTGAAAGCCCGAATGATGCAAACAGCACTCCCTTTAGCATGAGAAATATCCAACCACACCATTTTCCATCTGACAGAATGGTGACCTATGTATTTTTTCAAAGTCATCCAGTTTCCAAACTTACTTGCAACAGAAGACCAAACAGAGAACACAGTTTCAGTTCATACATCGAAGGTGTCCAAGAGCTCTTAAACATGGTCAGTTTACATATAACTCGTGCCCAAAGCTCCTTTATCAAGCACAGTGTAACTGTACACAACAAAGCCATAGTCCCTTGTGCAAGAGACCAGGCTTCTTCAGTAGCCTGTTTTAACTGTGGATCAACTTTCAACAGAAACTAAGAACCAACAGTAATGCACCCCAGATTCTGCAGCAAATGGAAAATGTACTTTTTCTGTATCATGTTCTTTAACAAGCTTACAGAACAATCAAAACGTTACCAGAGGAAAAAAGTACTTTCGTGGATACAGCTTTTCTTTAAGAGAGAAAATGAAAAGGAACTAAATGTAACAGGTATGTGTTTTGTTATAAAATGCACTATTGAAAATCACTCCGTTATATTGATGAAGTTGGTATGAGAAGTCATCAGAAACCAAACTGATGTGATTTAGTTGTCAAGACTATGACAAACTACTCTGCTGCATTATTTTAAGGAAGGATATATCTAATGGAAGAATCACCTAATTGTGGAAAATTAGCTTCACAACTGAGAAGGGCTAGAATTTGGCTTCTATCTTTACTTGTATTGGACTTTATAAGCTTTATCTTTGTGGAAGAATGCTGAATAAATACTGTATTTAGTGATCACATTTAGTAATAAATGAATTAACTAAGTCCAGTTAGTCTTACTGTGATAAGGGCCCTCATGCCTGGGGTTTTCCACTAGTCTCCTGTTTTCAAGGACTGTGACTGTATATCTGTGTTTTTCCAGGATGCGCTGACAGAGCTGACGGTCGGTCTCACGGTGGGCAGGAGGTGCATATAAAACTGCTCTTCTCATGTGGCTTCCAAAGTATTGGAGAATGGAATCATCGATCTACAGCAAACAGAGTGCAAATACAATGGTTTTAAGATAGGGCACTACTCAGCAATATAAAATACAGTTGTTATTTTTCACAAAAATAAACTAGTAACCTAATGTGACAACACAGGAAATAGCTCTAGTATAATTAAGAATCCTAAACAGTACTAGAGATTACTGTGCTCTAGAAAATTAAATGTAACCTTATCATACCTTATTGCCTTATTAGTCCAACATAATCCAGCCTATAGGAGGACTGGCAGAGAAACTTTTATATAGGAACAAGTGGAAAGGTGTCTGATGTCTCCAATGAATCCCAAGGAACACCTGGGTTACATATCACTCGCTATCTTCCTATATAGTGTCTAGGGACAATGGCATCTAGAGAAAAGCCTTCCTCTATGTAATATCCTGGAGTATGAGCTTCTTGCAAGAAAAAATGGGAAAGAGACACCTCAAACACACAAAAATAGTGAACTTCTCCAATACGAGTCCTTCCTACAGGCTGCAGATCTTTACAAACTGTTCCAGCAGGGGTCCCTTCCGCAGGGTGCAGTCCTTCAGGAACAGACTGCTCCAGCATGGGTCCTCCATGGGCTGCAGGTGGATACCTCAAGGTGGATCTCCATGGACTGCAAAGGGATTGCCTGTCTCACCATGATCTTCATCACATTCTGCAGGGGAATCTCTGCTCTTGTGTCTAGAGCACGTCTTTCCTCTCCTTCTTCAGTGACCTGGGTGTCTGCAGAGTTGTTCCTCTGACATATTCTCAGTCCTCTCTCTGCCTGCAGTTGCACAGTTGTTTTTTTCCTCTTCCTAAATCTGTTATCCCTGAGGCATTATCAGCATCATTGATGATGAGCTTGGCCTTGGCCAACAGCAGGTCTGTGTTGGAGCCAGCTGAAACTGGCTTTGTCAGACATTGAGGAAGTTCCTAGCAGCTCCTCGCAGAAGCCACCCTGGTAGTCCCCCTCACTACCAAACCCTTGCTATTCAAACTCCAGTACAATAAGGCATAAAAATAGGATGCTCCATGTAGCAATCAGGACACTAATATCTAGAACACTCTAGCTATTCTTTTGCAGTAAAAACACCATTCACAAACAAGACTTTCTTTTGGTGAAAAGTACTTGTCTTTAGGATTGAAATATACCACCAAGGATTAAAATCAGGACATGAAATTAGTTCTTCACAAGCTTGTGAATTTCAACCTAGCAGTAGTTAGCAGTTTAAAAACTAAGTTATTCCATATCTTCTAATTTTAGTAAGCTTATCACTAGAGATATGAAGCACTACACAAACAAGTCACCACCATTTTGTGCACAGTAGACTAGACTGAAAAGAGACAGATGTTTTGATATAAATAAATATCATTCAAGATGTGTCCAGTTGTTTATAGGGCTGGGATCTAGTGATAAAGTCACTCTCCTTAGCAGTCTATTCCCTGAGTATGAGATGCAGTTTTACATTACGCTTGGCTGAACTGTAAGTTTCTCTGCAGCAGTGAGGAGCACAAACTATTTCAGAGCCCTGAGCTTCTAACAGCACATCTGCTTTTGCTCCATGGAAAGGGTTAGCATCATTGATGAAAGGACCCTGAAAAAATCTCAACAGAACATTGTCAGAGTTTTCCACATGTATTTGCTAAATGTGCAACCCAAAACTAGTTTAGACACTGGGATATTCAAGTAAAGGCTTGATCACTTGCTGGCCGGAAGAAGCACAAATAGCACAGGGTGAAGTCATAGGAATTGCATTAGATCACCTGTCAGACAGTGTTCCTGGCATCCCAGCTTTTTAAAAACACATTAATCAGGTTCCAAGCACAGCGTTAGAGAGTCTCGGATGACCCTTCCCCACCACAGCACCCATCACTCTTGTTCCTCTCTGCCTTCGCCCCTCCTTCCTCTCCTCTTATCTTCTCTCTTTCCTGTTCTCTTGCAGTGCCAGCAGCTGCTGGCAGCCCTTTCTCTCCATTTCCCTCCCTCCCTCCCTGTTCCTAAATCCAGCCCTTGTCCCAGCCCCCTCCTGTGCTCTCTCTCCCTCTTCCAGGCAGTCCAGCGAGATACTTCCCACTTTCCATTTCACTTGCATCGTGGAAGAAAACCAGAAGACAGAGATACCTCTTGCTTTATTTTGCAAGAAAATCCCATTTTCCATCCCACATGTGCTGCAGGGGCCAGCGCTGCGAGGTGAACTGAGGACACGTGAGGAGCACAGAGGGGCTGCAGGCCAGGACACATCCCTGTTCCATTTCTGCTGGTAATTATGGTTTCTCCTGCTTCTGTCCTTCCCAGTGTGGCCTGGGTCCTGCCTTGGATGTGGCAGCACTTTGTGTGCACCCTCCTCACTAACAGTTACCACAATTCTGTTCTGCTACGAAAACACACCTTTCTTCATGAAAGCAAAGTCTCCTGCAGTGTCACCTCTGAAGTATTTTGCAGAGGTCCTGCCTTGAGCACCCAGCAGTGACTTCATTTCCCCTGCAGTCAACACTCCAAGGTCAGCGCCTGCAGGGCTCCCCCAGCTTGGCCACTGCCTCACAGCCCACGCCTGCTCCAACTGGCCTTGGCCTCGGGTGCCAACTCCACATGAGGGACAAGCTGTCCCGCCCAGTGAGGCATAAGGGACAGGAACCAACCAGTCCCAAGGCGTCCCGAGGAGCCCAGGGGTCAGCCAGCCTGCCTGTGGCAGGATCTGCCAGGGAAGGGGCTCTCCCTCCTGCTTCCCCGTCATCATTGATGCAGACGGCATCTTCCTCAGCTCTCTGGGGAAGAGCAGAAATGTTTACAATGCTTTAGTTTGGCTGTGACAAATATTCAACAGAACACTGATAGCAGCATTAAAAAAAAAAAAAAAAGGAAACAGGAAAAAAAAGTAAGTTCAGGCAGTAGCAGTGGCCTGGGTCATTTCCACAAAACACAAAGGGAAATGGCCCCAACCAGCTCCATAGGACCCACGCAGCAGCCGGCTCTCACCAGGCATCTCCCATGGGTGCTCAGGGGCCTCCTGACAACCCTCGCAGATGGAGCACAGCACTAGTTGCTCCAGAGGGCTTTTCTTGGGGCATTCGCTCCAGAGATACACAAAAGTCCCTCAGACTGACGGTGTACAAAGCCTTCTGCCACAGTGCTGGGAAGGACCGGGTGGGGACAAACTCATCTGTGCCCCCAGCCTCCCCTCCCACTGCTCAAGCACTGGGCACGAGGCACTTTTATCCAACAGCTCCCAAAGAGCTGTGACGGGATCTCTGGGACAAGGAGACAACTCAGGATCCTAAATTTAACAGCTTGACCCAATATCTAATCTGGTACTATTAAATAATATGAAGTATCCCCACACCTTTTAAGGTACTTTCTTGAGATTCATGTGTAGTGTTGCCAAATTTATTTCCTCTGCCCTTTCTTTTTAGAGCTATATGCAGTCCAGGTTACAAGATGCAATGTGTCCGCTGTTTTATTGCCAAGCCAGTGCAATGTAGGGTGGGTTGTTAGATAAACAGAATTAAAAAAAAAAATCTGGCCAACTGCATGCCTGTAGCAAGTGATTCCATACTTTTTTCCAAAGTTCTATATAAAATGCTTTGCATGACTGGACATGTTGATCTAGTTACTATTGGATGTTTTTCAGAATTTCCAATATTATAGCAATAGCAGTTATGTTTATATATTTAAAGAGTCTGCTGGTTTTCATAAAATAGTTCTCAATCATAAAAATTCAGCTTGAAGAGAGAGTTGGTATAAGAGAAGCCGAGTGCAATAGACGAAAATAAGCTGTTCACATAATTCCACATTTTATGATTCTGATTTTTTTGGCATTCCTATGAGTTTAATGTCCAGTAGGTTTAGATAGAAAACAAATGGATCCACAACATTTTGAAAATTTGAGAATAATTGGTAAGTGGCCAAATGTTTTGGTGTACCAACCATTTATTAGCTCTTCCTCAGTTTGAAGACACAGACTATTTGTCTGCGTCTGTCAATAAATCTGCGTCTGTCAATAAATCTGTCAATTTATCACAGATTCAATATACCTTATGTGAAAGGGATTGGTAAAGAACATCTGCAGCCCATGTCTTACCTACAGAATGGTGTGTTTGTCTCCATAGAAATTAATGAGGCTTTACAACAAAGCTGAGATTTCCCATATGATTTAGGATGAGGCCTGTGTCAGCTTTCACATGATATACCTGCTTTTACAGCTTACAAAACACTGCATTTAGCTGAGTCACTGACCTCATTTTAGTGCAATTGGCTGTTACACAGATGATCCACAGCCTTAACAACTGGTTTAAACAAACCACAATGGGCTATAAAGTGAATAAAAATGCATAAAAGTTAATTTTGTAAATTTTTTTCAGTTTATAGAATAACATGGAAAACACAAAAGAAAACAAATTGAGCTCCATTAAAATTTATTATGGTTTTTCAAAAAAACTATCACATCAAATGTATATTGCTTTGATGTCTTAACAAGATAAACGGCCCAGTTTATATAATAGGAAAGCTCAAGAATTAGGTAACCATCCTTGTACAGAGGGAAATAGACATCTGTTATCTGAGTTGTAATTCTTAGCTCTGTCTATATGCAAGTTCCACAGAGCTGTGAAGTACTCTGTTAAAGAGAAAATGTTTTGGCATTTCCCTTGAAACCAACATATCCAATTCTAGTTCATGAATGTATAAGGATATAATTGATTCTGTTAGTCTCTGAAGCTTTTCTCTATTTTACAGAATTTCTGGGTTGTTTCAAAAATCTAGAATTTGGTCACTAACTGGATCTTAGGATATATAATTGCTGTTTTTGTTTTGGTCAAGAAGAAAACAGAAAAGATATTTCAAGTTGCAGAGAGAAAAACAGTTCCTTGGCAGTTTTTTCAGATTCCAAGAAGATTGCATAATTCCATAAATATTGATGCATTGTCTATGCCTGGCAAAGAAGCAAATATACAGTTTGAACTCTTGCCATAGAATTTCACTGACCATCACTTCAACTGTAGAAACAAAATTCTTCTT